CTCTTGACAAGGTATTTGCCTATTAAATTAACCAAGATAGGAAACAGCGGCGATAATCCCTGACTCTGGAAATGTGGAGGGTTCAGATGTTCTGGGAATACTTTGGTATCAGTGTCCGGAATCCTAAAATATGAATTCCTTTAAATTTCATCTTGTAGGAATTTATTTCAATGAAATTTTCAGTAAACCAAGCAGTTACTTGAAGAAAATATAGTCAGGTCACGACACACTAGAGGAAATTAACGGCAGCGGCTTGGCTTATTTTCTCTTTCCCACTCATTTACCACTAACCACATGCCTGTGGATGATGAAGGCGCCGCCCCTCGGGCAGACGCAGGTCCCAACCTTAAGAGCCTGCAGAGGGCCAACCTCCCTCTAAAGCTGATCCCCAAGAGCAGAGATCAAACAACACCTGGATGCTGGGCTGTGGCTTGCTCCCGGGTTCTCAGGGCTGGACCCGGGATCTGGGCCAGGAATCGCGGGTGCAGACCCTGTAACCTGCAGGGTTGTGCCAGCCAGTCACACAGGAAATCCTGCTGCCTCAGACCCAGGCTACGAGGGGCCGGCCTTCCAGAAAAGAAAAACTGAAAATGATTTCAGCACAACAGCAGGAAGCCAGGGCGACACCCAAACCACTGCTGCACCCTGGGGGCTTGTGATACTCAGAGCTTGGTAGCATTTGTGAGTTGTGTAGGGGGTACTCAGATCCAGATCCACCAGGAAAGGGGGTGCGAGGTGCGGGGAAACTAGGGACCAGTCCTGGGGGCCATGATCTGAAACCGGAATGAATTTGCTAGGAATTGTCAAATTAAAAATAAAAATAACCTCCACCAAAGTGGATGTGTCAGAAATGCCTAGAGTTTGTCAGGGTCATTACATAAGAAAACTGAAACCAAAGGGAGCCAGGTGATGCCACCAGGTGAGGACTCTGGCAGCAAAGCAAAGGGAGAAGGCAAACTCTCCTGCAAACCTCTTTAAAGATTCCTAACACGCCAGAACAGGTAGGAGCTGAGAGCTTTAATATTTAGAAATCTGTTCAACCCTGTTCACTGATTCTGAACTGTATCTGACCATGGGCGCCCCTCCCAGGACACCCAGGAGGATTCCAGCAGGGGAGAGAGCTCTTCTGCAGTTCCTGTGGACGCACCTACAGTAGCAGCCCCAGCCCAGCACTGTCAGAGCAACAGGTATGGACCAGTCTGTCACAGCACTGGGAATGACAGGGGAGGAGTCACAGCAAGCCCATGTTAGCACAAGAAAAACAGGAGGCTAATAGCTGAGGACAGCAGGCGTTGACCCCTCCACACAGGTAGGACAGCAATGTCAGACGCTGGCCACACCAGTGCTAACAGTGATGGAGACTATTGTCTGCAAATGCCCCACTTTGTTTTCTGAAGCCCCTTTGCTTCCTCTGAGGGCATCATGGGAGCCCAGCAGCTAGGACTTCCTTCAGACCTTTTCAGAGATATACCAGGAAACCGCTGCCCCCCCAAAAAAATGAAATGCAGGAAAAAGTATTACATCACACAGATGAGAATAAAGATGAGAGATGTTTATTCTAACCACAGACACTAAAAAAGTGTAATAAAGAGAAACCTTGCCTAATAATTCAGCAATCTACAGAGTAAAAGCTTATTCAAATTATATGCTTTAGGTGATTTTATAGATATGTAAAATGTGCTCATCTAAGACAATTATTTTGATGAATTTTACCAAATGTAGTCACTGTCACAATGAGGGCGCAGACCACTTCCAACACCCCAGAAAGCTCCCCAGTTCTTTGTAGAAAATCCCTTCCTGGACCCCAGGACCAGGGAACAGATCTGCTTCCTGATTCACAGATTCATTTGGTCAGTATTAAATGCTATGTACTAAGGGCGTGTGGTATGGACTTTTTGGTGAATGGTTTCATTTGCTCATCACAATGTATTTGAGGCACATTCCTGTTACTGCAGGTCAGTGATTCATTCCTCTTTACCAGGCTCATGGGATGCCTGTATCTCAACCTGTCCCATCAGTAGGATGTCACCAGCGTCATCAGCCAGTGATGGTTTATGGGAGGAAATATGATCTAGATTTCTCAGAACTCTGATCTGACAATGGGTAGGTCAGATAAAAATGATAATAGTCTAATGTGTTACACATGAATTCAAATATTCCTTTTTAATATTTTTACAATTTATACATTCATTGTGTATATGCACTTGCATACCTGTGTGTACCACAGCACGTGTTTGGTGGTCAGAGGACAATTTGTGGGAGTCAGTTCTCTCTTAACAAGTAGGAAGCAGGGATTGAAGTAAGGTTATCAGGTTTGGTGGCAAGTGTCTTTACCCACTGAGCCCTCCAGCCAGCCCAAAAGGAAAGGATTTTTGGCCCTTCCTTCTAATCACAAAGAAATGGCACATTTGCCAAACCAGTGGCCTGACACTCTACTAAAAAAATGTAATAATGGAGAAACCTTGCCTAATAATTCACATGCAATCTATAGCACAAGAGCCTATTAAAATTGTTTTAGCTGTTTTATAGATATGTAAAATGCGCTCATCTGAAACAATTATTTTGATGAATTTTACCAAATGTAGTCACTGTCACAATGAGGGCGCAGACCATTTCCAACACCCCAGAAAGCTCCCCAGTTCTTTGTAGAAAATCCCTTCCTGGACCCCAGGACCAGGGAACAGATCTGCTTCCTGATTCACAGATTCATTTGGTCAGTATTAAATGCTATGTACTAAGGGCGTGTGGTATGGACTTTTTGGTGAATGGTTTCATTTGCTCATCACAATGTATTTGAGGCACATTCCTGTTACTGCAGGTCAGTGATTCATTCCTCTTTACCAGGCTCATGGGATGCCTGTATCTCAACCTGTCCCATCAGTAGGATGTCACCAGCGTCATCAGCCAGTGATGGTTTATGGGAGGAAATATGATCTAGATTTCTCAGAACTCTGATCTGACAATGGGTAGGTCAGATAAAAATGATAATAGTCTAATGTGTTACACATGAATTCAAATATTCCTTTTTAATATTTTTACAATTTATACATTCATTGTGTATATGCACTTGCATACCTGTGTGTACCACAGCACGTGTTTGGTGGTCAGAGGACAATTTGTGGGAGTCAGTTCTCTCTTAACAAGTAGGAAGCAGGGATTGAAGTAAGGTTATCAGGTTTGGTGGCAAGTGTCTTTACCCACTGAGCCCTCCAGCCAGCCCAAAAGGAAAGGATTTTTGGCCCTTCCTTCTAATCACAAAGAAATGGCACATTTGCCAAACCAGTGGCCTGACACTCTAGCAGGCCCATGAAATGCAGCGGCTGGGGCCTGGCTGCCCGTACTCTTGGCCTGCTCCTCCAGCTTTCTCCTAAATTCTATGAGCTGCCCAATATACTTCTAAGAGATTGACTTGTGCCTGGGCATGATGGCACGCACCTGTAATCCTAGCACATGGGAGGCTGAAGCAAGAGGATGAGCATGTGTAGGCAGCCTGGGTACATAATAGGACCCTGTCTAACAGAGTTGCTTATCAACACAATTCCTCATAAAGGAGGAATTCCAGTGTGTTCACCCATGGGAATTTGGTAGACTTTGCCGAGCAGAGGTGACATGGCAAAGTGAACGACAGCAGTAGATTGTGGTGAAGACTGAACAGTGCACTCCCTGACCCTAGTGCTAGA